GACTCGGAATATAATTTGAATTCAAATTTGGGATGAATTCAAAATTTTGAATTTATCCAACTTTAAATTAAACGCTGGATTTATGGTTCAAATTTAAAATTTGGATACAATTTGAGAATATAGAATTTATCCAAATTTTTGAATTTATCCAACTTTAAAACGATGGATTTATAGTTCAGATTTGAATTTTGAATCAAATTTAAAAATGTAGAATTTATGCAATGTAGTTTAATAGTTGAAATATAATTTAAATTCAAATTTGAAACGAATTTGAAAATGATTTAAATTTGATATCGAACCAAATTTACAACTTCATTTATTTACCAAGTTTGTAAACGAGAAAATAAAACATCGAGAAAAACATACGAGGAACCAACAAAATAGAACATAGAACAAGAAATTAAAAGAAACAAGCCCACAAAGATTATTTATTAGAAATTGTATAGTCAAACTGATCCATATAAAGCCTTAAGTCCAGCAACATCATCGCCATGCAAATCATTGGTATCTCCCTCTGGTATGGTTGGATACATAATAGCCGCTTCAAAGGAGCTGTGTTGAAGCCCAAGAAGATGGCCAATCTCATGCAACGCCACCGTTTCAACATCAAAATAACCAGAAAGAGCCCCCACAGACCATGGCTCATGAGCGCCGAAGTGAAGTCTACCGTCCGTGGGTGGAAAAGCATGGGCTAGAATCCCTCCCATACCATCGAACGAGGAAAAATCTCCATGGTCTTCAATTTCGAAGCTTATTTTGATATCAGATTTTTTGTAGTTCGAAATCTTTGAAAATGTGAAGTGGGTTTCGGAAGCCCATTTGGAAAAAGCTAGATCCACGGGTTCAATTGCTTCAGATGGGTAGCCCGGAAGAAATGCATAGCTCAAGTGGAACTTGGAAGCTGGCCATTTTGGTTTCCCCCCGAAGAAAGAATAGTGAGAAACTGTGTGGAAACGGCCATCTCTATTTTTGTTGTCCATTGATGATCTCATCCAAGTGGTGCCATTGAAGAAATCTTGAAGCCCACATCGAGGCATGCCCATTTGGGTTATGGTCTTGGCGTCCAAAATTCCAGAGGCATCAATATTGTAATTTTTCTGGTAAGTTTTAACGGCGGATTCCAAGGCATGGTCGAAGGTGTCATCATCCATGGCCATGGAATTCTTCTCCACATTGGTAATGTAACCGAAACGTCGAAGGTACTTTTTGAGGCGATGAATGCCTTGTGCTGTGTCACCCAAACGACATCCTCGGAGATTGTTAAAAAGACAATGAGGAAGATGAGTTCATGTCGTGGGCAATGGCATTATGTTTCAAAATCAGTACATGAGACGACATATTTGGATGAGGGAAGAAGGAAAGAAGAAGAAATAAGATTAATGCAAAGATTTGGAGAGCTTTGGAGGCCATTGTTGCTGTAAGAGATATTAGCTTTGAGGAAGAACACCATTTAGAAAACACGTTAGGAATCAGCTAAAAAAAAAAAATCAAGAAGGCAGAAGGGAGAAGCTGAGAGA